TCAGGTGGCAATTAGGTTATCTGAGCTTCTTAATCCTTTACAGGTAAAGGAGGGATTTTATGCTACCCTTAGCTATATGTTTATGACAACCTACTTAACTCAAATGCCTGACAGACACTTGGGAGAAAAACTCTGCGTGTGAAAATCCTGATGCCCTTTCACCGAGGGATAAAAATATTCCCAATCTAGTTCTCCCCTCCTCCAAGGAGTTCTCTAGCAACAACAACAAAAAGTCTTCATATTCTCCATATTTCTGAAGTACAAAAAGAACCAAGCAGAATTTTAAAAGATTCAGGTCTCCTTTGTCCATCTTAAAGAAGCGAAAGACAAACAAAATACAAACACAGTTTGTTGTCCCCCTTTGCAAGTCACCTTAAACTCAACAGCAGCAGCAAAGGTGTGAACTCAGTTCCTGCCCACTCCTCTCATCTTCAGGGAGGTGTGAAACCAGTAGCCCCCACTCCCCCCAAGTAGCCACATCCTTCTCAATGCAGTGGAAATGAGAACGATCAGAGTGGGGTGACAAGACAGCGTTAGCCACAGACCTACGGGAGGAGCTAACCTCCGAGGCCAGCTACTCCTCACAAGGCAGTGACACAGACACTCAGCTGGGGTCCGTTACTTTTAAACGTTTAAAGAGACTTTAGATCTGACATCGCTTGGTAACAAAGGCCCAGAGCCTCAAACTTATTTAGGCTCCTAACTGCCATTGGAATCAGTGGAAATTAGGAACCGAAATACTTTTGAGGGTCTGGGCCAAAGTATTTTTTCTCTGGGAATTCCCTTGTTTGTTTTTTTAAATAGGAATAATGCGGAGCTCAATCTCTACCAGACCCCTGCCGCTCCCTGGCTCTCGTTTGGAACTTAAATGCTCTGCTCCTAACTTATTTTTTGTTGTTGCTGGAGATGGACGCTGGGGTTGGTCTAACGCTCTGCACACTCCGCCTTCACTGATCAGTAGGATAATTAAGCAATCAATTTGCGAACACCTAGAAGATAATAAAGTGATAAGTAACAGTCAGCATGGATTCGTCCAAAACAAATCGTGTCAAACCAACCTGACAGCTTTCTTTGACAGGGTAACAAACCTTGTGGATGGGGGAGAAGTGTAGATGTGGTATACCATGACTTGAGTAAGGCTTTTGATACTGTCTGGCATGACCTTCTCATAATCAAACTAGGGAAATACAACCTAGATGGAGCTACCATAAGGAGGGGGCATAACTGGTTGGAAAACCATTCCCAGAGAGTAGTTATCGGTGGTTCACAGTCATACTGGAAGAGCATAATGAGTGGGGTCCCGCAGGGATCAGTTTTGGGTCCTGTTCTGTTCAATATCTTCATAAGTGATTTAGATAATTGCATAGAGAGTGCACTTATAAAGTTTGTGGGTGATACCAAGCTGGGAGGAGTTGCAAGTGCTTTGGAGGATAGGATTAAAATTCAAAATGATCTGGACAAACTGGAGAAATGGTCTGAAGTAAATAGGATGAAATTCAATAAGGACTAATGGAAAGTACTCAAGTTAGGAAGGAACAATCAGTTGCACACATACAAAATGGGAAATGACTGCCTAGGAAGGAGTACTGCGGAAAGCGATCTGGGGGTCATAGTGGAGCACAAACTAAACGTGAGTCAACGGTGTCACACTTGCAAAAAAAGCAAACATCATTCTGGAATGTATTAGCAGGAGTGTTGTAAGCAAGACACGAGAAGTAATTCTTCCACTCTGCTCCGCGCTGATAAGGCCTCAGCTGGAGTATTGTGTCCAGTTCTGGGCACCACATTTCAGGAAAGATGTGAACAAACTGGAGGAAGGCCAGAGAAGAGCAACAAAAATGATTCAAGGCCTAGAAAACATGACCTAGGAGGGAAGATTGAAAAAATTGGGTTTGTTTAGTCTGGAGAAGAGAAGACTGAGGGGGGGACATGATAACAGTTTTCAAGTACATAAAAGGTTGTTACAAGGAGGAGGGAGAAGAATTGTTCTCCTTAACGTCTGAGGACAGGACAAGAAGCAGTGGTGGTTTAGGTTGCTTAAGGGCGAGCGACAGGGGGAAGGGGGCAGAGAGGAGCAAAGGGGTGGGGTCTTGGGGAGAAGAGGAAGGACAGGGCCAGGACCACGGTTCAGGCGCTGGTGCTCCCCCCACTTTTAGGGAGCTTCCAATCGCCCCGGTCTAGATAATGCTTGGTCCTGCCTTGAGTGCAGGCGATTGGACTAGAAGACCTCTCAAGGTCCCTTCCAGTCCTACAGTTCTATGAAGAGCTCAGCTGGATTGGATTTAATCTTTCTTCCTGTGTAACTCAGGGCTTTATTCAAATGGGTTTGGAGTATTGCACCAGTTGTTGTAGTTATACTTAGTTCTTATTAGGGCTGTAAATTAATCACAGTGAATGCATGCAATTAATGCAAAACAAATTAACTAGATTAAAAAGAATAGTCACAATTAATCGCACTGTAAAAAAGATAAACAAAAGAAAGAGTAGTTTTCAGTTCACCTCATACAAGTCCACTCAGTCCTACTTCTTGGTCAGCCAGTTGCTAAGACAACAAATTTGTTTATATTTACAGGAAATAATCCTGCCCACTTCTTATTTACAATGGCACCTGAAAGTGAGAACAGGCGTTCGCATGGCACTGTTGTAGCTGGTGTTGCAAGGTATTTACGTGCCAGGGATGCTAAACATTCATATCCCCTTTCATGCTTCGACTTGTAGGCTCTAAAGTTTTACATTGCTTTGGTTTTGAGTGCAGTTATGTAAAAAAAAAAATCTACATTTGTAAGTCGCACTTTCGCGATAAAGAGATTGCACAACAGTACTTGTATTTTTCAATTCCCCTCCTACTATTTCTTTTATCTTTTTTTACAGTGCAAATATTTGTAATAAAAAATAATATAAAGTGAGCAGTGTACACTTTGTATTCTGTGTTATAATTAAATCAATGTATTTGAAAATGTAAAAAAAAAAATCCAAAAATATTTATAATAAATGTAAATTGGTATTTTATTCTTGTTTAACAGTGCGATTAAAGCTGTGACTAATTGCAACTATATGTTTTTAATCTCACAATTAACTGTGATTATTTTTTTAAATCGTTTGACAGCCCTAGTGCTTACATACAATATTCTTTGCGGCTCTTAAAGCTCTTTACAGAGGAAGGCAAGTAGTAATGGGGGAATAGCCACAGAACTGATGGGACTTGCCCCAGTCACCCAGCAGGCGAATGGAAGAGCCGAGAAAATCACGCAGGTCTCCTGATTCCCAGCCCAGGGCCCTCACCACTGGGCCTAACTTGTCACTCTCACAGATCCTGCATCAATCTGTTCACAGTGGGTCCTAGCTGAGCTCCAAGGGTTGGGAGATGGTCTTCCATACCAAGCCCCCGCCTTACGCCCCAGCCTCCACTCCCAGTGGAGATCTCACTTTAGGACTGCAGAATCCACTTCTGCAACGTTAGAATCTTCCCCCGCGACGAATGACACAGCAGCGGAAGACAGGGTGGCTGTATGTATTGGGACGAAACAATAGTTTATTCTACAATGTGAATACAAGGTGTTAAAGACACAAAGCTGGGCTTGATTCACTCCTATTTCCACTGTGAGATAGGATATTTATTAGACCCTTTTCCATTGTGCATTGTTTTAAAGACCCAGGCGGAACCTACTACACTTTCTGGGCTACAAATACTAAGATACAGATCGGAAGCCAGGACAGAGCCTGTCTGAATATTACATCTTCGAAACTTCCTGACAGCTCCCAGGCTTCAGGAATCTAGCTAGTCAATCTTCTATAGCAGACACAGCTAGGCACTAACTAAACTGGCGTGAGAAATGTGCTGAAGGCTTTGATCCTACGCCCACTGACCTCCATGGAAATGTTCCCGGGAGCACGCAGAAGCAGAAGAGAACCCAGCTTGACACTCAGATCGCAGTGGGAATTTGTGGAGCTGGTGATTAGAGGAGGGGGGAAAAAAACCCAAAGCAAAATATTCTTCTTATCGCAAATGGAACGGTTTGAGCAGGAGTCATTGAGCCACAACAAGCACGGATCCCCCCCGCCCCCCAACACACACGGCCAGTCACGTATCAGAGCAGAACCACACTTCCAGGCTGCAGCTGCCTGGGTTCATTAACTGGCTACCTCCTGATCGCAGAATTGCGCCTACAACAGACTATGAGCAAGACCTCAGCTGGCAGGCCAGGAAGGCAGGGACTGGCTTCGGTGTGTCTAGGAGTCCCCTTGATTTCCCTCCCAGATGGATACATGGGACAGTCTATACAATGGCTGCACACAGCTCACTGCGCAGCCTGTCTGTCCCACTCCAGCATCACATGGAGCTGGGCCCTAGAGGACGAGTCAACCCCCTCTCCAAGCACCCTGCAGCACTCCGAGCCTGGCCCTGAGGCAGGATCCCCAGCATGACAGTGCCTTGTGCTAGTCCTGTGCCACTGGGCCGGCCCCCTGCTCAGACACACTTCAAATAAATCTTCTGGCCCCTGCTCTCCCTCTCTTTCCACCATGACCCAGGCAGCCCTCGGATCAAACAGTCGCTGTCAATCAGCTGCCTCGTGGAGCCCCAGAGGGGGAAGCATGTCAGTGGTGGGCACAGTGGGTGGAGGTATTTTCTCCGGGCCTTTATATTTAAGTTGCAGGGGCCCAGTTGGTAACACCCAAGGACTTGACATAAATGTTGAATCAAAGTAAAAGAAACCCAGCTGGTGCTACAGCCCATCTGCCTAATGACTGGGCGGGGAGCTTGACTACTCAGACACTGCTCTCTATCAAAGCAGCTGCCTGGTGGACAGAGAACCTGACTGAACCGTCAGCCCCCGACCCCGTGTGGGAGAGGCAGCGAGCTCCCTGCTTGCTTGGGGTGGGGCACAAGCCAGCAGGAGCAGCATACGACGTGCTTTGAGATCCTTCGGCTGCTCTAGACGTGATGAGCGTTGCTATTATTGCTTGGCTCTGCATCGCCGTGGAAACGCTGCCCTGAGCCACTAGAGGCTGGGGCCGGAGTTGGCTTCCTCTGCTGGATGGGAACTCGGCTCTACTGCTTGGTCCCCTTCCCCGGCGCCGTCCCCAGGAGACAGCGCGTGCTGGGGGCCAAGGGAGAGCGCCTTCGGGTAGGGCTGGGGGTCGTTCCAGGCAGCCCCATCCTGGTGCACCATCACCTGGGCCGGGGAGCCCGGGCCGGAGCTGCCCGCGGCCTGGCTGAAGTTCTGGACGTTGTCCTGGACCCGCAGGATGTATCTGTGCAGCACGCTGGCCCCATCCAGAGGGCTGGCGGGAGCAGGGTGGGCGGGCAGGCTGTGATGCAGGCGCTTCACCTCCGCGTGCAGGCGCGACACTGACTTGTTCAGCTCGGTGATACGGTTCCCCAGGTCTGCAAACAAAGCGCAGGCACGGCCAGGTGAGGGCAGGGCTATAGGGAGAGCCAGCCCGCCTTGCGCCCACAGCAGCCCACTGGTAACCATCCCCTCTCTTAGGGCTCCAGAGCATTCATGAGATTCGAGGATCCCCATCTCTGCCCTTAGACACACCCACGTGTGGAGCCGGTTCTTGGGGTGGGCGAGCAGCGTGGGCACGTTGGGCTCCAACTTCCAGGTGCCACTGTCCTTCTACCACATGGGGCGTACGCATGGACCTTCTGCAGCGTAGCACAGACCATTACTGCCTGAGCTAAAGGAGTAACTCCATTGAATGGCAGCAGTAGTAGGCCGTTATCCTTCTGGGAAATGGCCACTAGACGGGGATGTGGCCCACACTTTGCCGGGGTGTGACACCTGCTTCTTCCTGACCCTCATCCTGCCCCCTTCTTCCCTCTATTTCTCCTTCCCTCCCCTCCCCTCTCCACTGTATTATGGAGTCCCAGTCAGGCCCTCCTTGTTTGCTAGGGTGGAGGGGGCTTTCCAGAGCTGCCAGTTAGAGTCACAGAATTTAAGGCCGGAAAGGACCCTAGAGCATCCAGTGTGAGCTACCATGGATCACAGGCCACCAGCCAGACGTTAAGCCCGGCAACCGAATGAGACCGGAGTATCCCAGATCACAGCAGACTCGGCTAGACGTGCCACAGGCAGCGAACAGGAGGCCCTGAGGTTCACCAGTGCCCAAGACCCCGCGCAGTGCCAGGGTTACCTTTCCTCCTGCTCTCCTCGAACTCCCGCCTGGCTGTGTCGATGTAGCGCTGCACCAGAGCCTTGATGACCTGCAGCCGATAGGAACGGCAGCTCTTCCCGCCGAGGCCAACGTCCTCCAGGGTGGCATTAGCCTGAACAGGGTGGGAAACAGGGTTATGCGGGCGCCAGGTACCAGCACGGCTTAGCATTTACCTGGCGCCAGGGGGCTCGCTCACCCTCTTCATGCAGCCATTTTACAGTCCGTGTGGGTGAAATTCACCCAGACAGGATCTAGTCAGGCAGATGGAATTCTGGGAAGCCCCTGTCCCCTAGATATCCCAGGACACGACTGGAAAAGAAGTTGTTTGCAAGGGACTCCAGGGGAGCATAAGCCTGAGGATAAAGCAGTCTCGCTGCCAAGGTAGCTTTCTCCGGGGCTCGGTCTGCAGACAGACAGACAGACAGGGAACTTACGATGGTGGGAATCGGGGGGTAATCCTGTTGCCTCTTGGGTTTGGAGCAGCAAACAAACCTGACAATGCCCCTGGGGAATGCAGAAGGACATGTGTCATTGGGGGAGAGGGGTGTCACTCAAGTACAGCCAGCCCTGGGGACGCTACGTTCAAATCTGAATCCAGGTCCAAAGGGATCCAAAATCGGGGGGAGTCTGGAGCCAGTTTCTGGTTCTGGCCCAATGGAGAGATAAGCCCCAGCCACCATGTTCAGATCCGAACCGTTCCGGGATTCAAGTTCAGGCCCATCACCCTTCAGAAGAGATTTTATCCCCTAAGTTTTAACCTTGACAGCTACCAAGCCGCGGATCTGAGACGGTCTGCTAGCCCCGGCTGCACTGCGGCCAACACGCCCGGAGAGCCAGAGCCCAGGGGGACACGCTGCAGTCCACAGGGATCTTCTCAGCGAGTGCTGGGCGCTGGGCTGCAAATAGGAGCCTTTTAGCCACTGCCTCTGTATTAGGGTTGCCACCTTTCTAATTGCTGGTAACCAGCACCCCGAGGCCCTGCCCCGCCTCTTCCCCCCAAGGCCCTGCCCACCTCATCCCTTGATGCCCCACCCCTTCTCCACCTCTTCCCCCAAGGTCCCACCCCTGCCCCGCCTCTTCCCCCAAGGCCCCGCCCCATCGCTCACTCCTCTCCCACCCCCCCACATCCGAGGCAATCACTGGATCATCTCAAGGAGCTGCCTGCAGGTAGGAGGCGGCCCCAGCTGAGCAGGGGCTGGCACGGGTTAACAATCTGGTGCCTCCTCCCACCCTGCGGTAACTGGACTTTTGGTTCGGTGCCATTTAGGGTTGCCAGGTCCCCTTTTGAAGCGGACTTTCCACCGAGCACCTAGCAACCCTAAACAGCACCCGGACCCAGAAGCCCAAAACTAGATTGGCCAGGTAAAACTCGGACAGGTGGCAGCCCTACTCTGTGTCTCTAACGTAGGCAAGAGTCAGTGGGTGGCAGCAGTGTTTTCCGTTATCGATGCAGCCAACGCTTTCCCCTCTGGCTGCGTGGGGACAGAACCGGCACACTCTGTAGAGCACAGACAGACAGACAGACAGGGACAAATCAAAGTAGCAATAAGGCCCAAATGTTTAGTGGGGGAGGTCTAGGTTGGATATTAGGAAACACTATTTCACTAGGAGGGTGGTGAAGCACTGGAATGGGTTATCTAGGGAGGTGGTGGAATCTCCATCCTTAGAGGTTTTTAAGGCCCAGCTTGACAAAGCCCTGGCTGGGATGATTTAGTTGGTGTTGGTCCTGCTTTGAGCAGGGGGTTGGACTAGATGACCTCCTAAGGTCTCTTCCAACCCTAATCTTCTATGATTCTAAAGCCTCTGCCCTATGCCATACAGCAGTGTCAACGACCGGTCCATGGCCCAGCGCCAGTCCCTGAGATTTCCCTGACACACAGCAGCAAGCCGGTCCCGGGTATCAAAAAGGTCAAGAGAAACTGCCCCACTGGAGTCAGACTAGATGATCTAATGATCCCTTCTGGCCTTCAAATCTAGTAATATATTAATCGTCTTCCTTAACCTGCTCCACCAAGGGAGCAACTTTTCCTTTGTGGAACACTCCAGCATTCCCTGCATTAGTTCCCTTCTCCAAACCTGTCTCGGTCTCCTCAGGAGAACTGGTTGACAAACGGCTAGGCACGTTTGGAGAAACATTTCCGAAGAAAAACAATTATTTACTTGAAATGGTTCATGAAAACTTTCCAAATGTTCCAATTTTTTTAACTTTTTTCACTATTTTCCCCCACCTTTTTGCCACTGAAATGAGGGGAAAGGGAGAGAAACAGGGAAAAACCAGTCAGCAAA